CATACCCATATAAAAAAATGACCACATTTCTATGATACTTTCGGGAGCTCTGATCTGGTTTTCCAAAGATCTCCTCAAAAAACAAACTTGAAAATTTTTTCCGAAACCCGCTTCCGCTTATAGAAACACGGGCTCAGGTTTCTAGTTTCTAAAACTGAAAACCGCACCTCTCTATCTATTACCTACCAAAAGTTATTCAAAAAGCAACCAATGCTCTTGTATTTTGGAACGGACAGTAGATCTCTAACAGATCAGAAAGGCAGACATCACCAATAGCATATGGCACACAAAAAGTTCAAAGGATACATTACAAAAATACTTGAAGTCGTTAGTAAACAGGTCAAGTGATGAAATAAGTAACTTTCTTCTTGATGGAACTTCTTCACTTTTCTAAAATAATAATTCATCAGCCATTCGTTAATGGAATTGTGCGAGACGCAGTAAAAAAATGAAATATTCAATGTTTCACTAGAATGTATGTAAAGAGCCATACTTCAATTATACAAGTGAGGACGTCCGCTCATGTGCGTACTTCCCGAGAACAACCACAAATTCTAAATTTGAGCATATACGCTGTGAATTTGATGAATATTGATCAATACAATTAATGTGTGTTCATTTGAGTACAACAGTAACGATGAATAATCTAGCTTTAACCTTTTTGGCAAATGCTGCCTACACGGTTTGTATATAATTCAAAGATATGAATTAGCATAATGGCATCTGTTGCGTACAATAGCAGAGTTATACATTTTCTCTTCTATCAATTCTTTCGTTATGCGACTGGCTAATGGTAACCAAAGCTTTTATTTGATCATTACTAATCGATATTAGTTGGATGAAAAAAACGATAATTGATGGTATAATCATGATCATTTAGATAAAAATGATGATGGCTAAAACAATAATATTCATTGCTGGACTATTTTCAACAACGTTTTCGAATCAGACAGTTAGTCATAACCAGAATACGCGAAACACGTCCGTATATTACTGTACATATGATATCTGCAGACAAGAAGTGACCCAGGTACGCTAATAAGAGTTAGTATTTGTCGTTAAATCTAACTTTTATCATATAATACTGACGATATCTAATATTATGTCACAGAATTAGCATTTAATAATCTTTCATGTAAAAATAAAACAAATTTCATTTTTTCTCTCTTCCCTTTCACATGAAAGCAGTATACCATGCTCATGATTCATTATAATGCTATATCTATTTTAGTTAACAATATTGCTTAATGGTACGAATAACACTTATATAAGTATCAATAGTGGAACAACACATTCATGGTCGGGTTCATTAACAATCGATTTTGTTGGTGTTCCAGTATTCTCTATCGAAGGAAACGCTTACATAAATATTGGTCAGGTACGAGAAGGAGAAATTTTACTTTTTTTTATTGCACAAAAGTTCTTCTCTGGTATATTTTAGTTAATGGAACGACTTGAGGACACGTTCATTTCATTTATTATAAGTGCAATAATACAAAATCAAGAAACAATTACATCTCAACTCGTCCACCTTACAGTATTTTGTAACTGTGAAACAGAAATCGACATGAGGTGCATAGAAGATAATTCATCGGTAAATATGTCACACTAGATTTAAAAAAAAAGTTGTGGAGGAATTAAAAATAGTTTAGATTGATGAAAATGCTACCTTAAGTACAACTTTGAATCAAATTCAAATGAATCATGAAAAGAAACTGAATAATTTTCGTTATTTACTATCAAATGATGTTGGCCTGCCTACTGTAAGTATACTTTTATTATATTATTCAAACTGCATCTCACTCGAACAGAGGTGATTTATTAGTAAATTGCTAAACAGAAGAAAAATGCATAAATATCGCAGATATGAAGAAGCTACTGTACTATAACAGAAGATACTGTACAAAGTATAAAGTAAAGAAAATCAGTGAAAAATAGATACTTTTAAAAAAAAGATTAAACGAAAACAAAAAAGTTAAGAGTTAATAAGACGCTGAAGTTTAAATCTGAAAAATCACCGGTTTCCATAGCATCCTTTCCACTGGTAGCCGGATATTCAAATACCGTGCCCTATACTGGTAGGTAATCTTAAGCAAAATTTTCCTAAACGCACCTTGCAACATTTCAGACATCCAAGGTGCGGGCGTCAAATAGCTTCCTTGCCAGAGAAAGGGGTATACCTATCATCCATTGATTCCTCAGTTCTTATGTCAGATGAATGTCTGAGTGTTGCTATGATTTTGAATAGCCCAAAATAATTATTTTAATGTAAAAATCATGTTCTGAAAACCTTTTCTGGTCAGACTCTCTTGAAGGTTGTTATAAATTGTTATCCAAAAGCTCACGCATTCACTACGCTCTAAAAAAGGTTGTATTCTAAAAACCAAAAAATGGTATCCCGGACCGGGACACCAAAATTGGTTCTTATTAGTAACAACTGCAGATACTGGTTCTGTAGACTTAGAAATACTCTTTTCCGGATTCTAGAAAACCGGTTTGATTCTGCAAGATACCCTTTTGATATTTCAAAATGCCCTTTGGGTATTCTAGGATACGGAAAAGGGTATTTCTAAGTCTACAGAACCGAAAAAAAAGGGTATCTGCAGTTGTTACCAGAAGGAACCAATTTTGGTTTTCCGGTCCCGGGATACCATTTTTGGGTTTTTTAGAATACGATTTTTTTTAGAGAGTATGGAAGTACAATATAGATAAATAAAAATTTTGACAAAATTTGAGTCTGATCAAAGCTTCGAAAATTTATTACTGCTCAGAGAACCTTTTAATTGAGTGAAACTGTGACATCTGTGAGAACTCACTTAACATGGCTGTCACTTCTCCTAAGCTTAGTTTGTTAGATACGTAGGGCGTTCAAAAAGTTCTCGGATTGATTTTATTTTAAAAAAAGTATATAGATTAATCATATATTCTTTCGTGGAAAGTAAACAACATCAGTGGTGATGCACTGTTGATTGTTTCGTGCTGGATGTCGTGATCTAAATTTAATTGTAATCATGCTTCTCTGATCAATCGACCTGTGATCACGGCTAACATTTAAGCGGAGAAGGAGGAGTTGCGGCTACCAATAAAAGTTGACCCTTTACTTTTTTAACACAGATGTCTAGAGAGCGGCTTCATAACTAGACAAATCAAAAAGATTAAATAGTAAAAATAGTTTTTATCTTTACGAAGATAATGTGAATAGAATTTGTATCCAAAAGTTTAGGATATTATTTACTTTATTTACAGTGAAGATAAAGTGGCAACCCCACTGACATCCCTATTATTAAAACGAATGACAGAACTTTCATTAGAAGCCCGGCCAATCAGAATTGGCGAACTTTTATCTACAGAATGTGTGTCGGAATTGATGCCAGCACGGTATCAGTAATGTATTTGGGTTCGGTATCGAGCTTTCATATCGTTCCGATCCCGACACCTTGTGCGATACTGGATGTGCCAAATGACCGTTCAACACGTCGAAATCAATATTAGACGAGCCGATTTTTATTAAGTTCGACCCCATCTTTTTTCTCTTGAGTATTTATCATCTTCAAAGAAGAAAATCGAAGATATATATATTATTTGTCTCGTCACGTATTTGTATAAGCGACGATGATTATAGTTGATCTGAATGCTTTGTGTATCAAAGTAAAAACTTGAGATAATTATTATGAAACCTAATAAATTTTCGAACTGCAGTGTTATAAACATATGTTAACATGCCGAAGTCATACTGAGAAAAATATTACATTTCCTTCAGAAAAGAGAATTTTCTTTTAAAATGTTGCGTGTACATCCACATTTATTATCTTCTTGCAGTTTTCGATTAGTTGCACAGATACACCTACTGAAAAATACCACTTGATATAAAAGAAGAGATTCTCGGCTTGTCCACGGAACGCGACACTTCGCTGATCATGTTTTTTTGTTTTTTTTTCATCGGGAAATCGATAGGAGTCCATCACCACACATAGTTTTTCATGCTGATCACGAATTCAGCCATTATTTTGAAAAAAAACTGAAGTTTTCAATTAAAAAATTTAAATTTAAAGTTTTTGAAAACTTTAATTTTAATTTTCTGACCTTAAGATTTTCGTAAAATAATTTTAAAAATATACTGTCGAATAGAGAATTCAATTCTCTACAAAACGGCTCGTTTTGTTCTGAGAAATATTTCTCAGTCGAGGTACAAGGGCTGCTTGCAAGTTTGAACTCCCGATTCGATTTAAAAGCCTGAAACACCTTTTGAAACTTTGTTTACAAGTGGAGTATCTTCAGGAAGGCTAGAAGTACTCAAGCTATCAGTATGAAGTTGTTTGAAGGACGTTGAGTGCCCTAAAATAGTGTGACAAAAAATGTGTAACAGTGTTACTTTTGGTTTTTTGCTTATCTTACGCAAATAAAAATAGTTAGAAGAAAATTTTTTTTACCGCTGAAAAGCCCGTTCGATGCTCTACAAAATTTGCTCTAGGGACATTTCATTTGGAGAACGACTTTCGCAGGAAATTAGAATTTTAGCAAGACCACTCTGAATTTTTATGTAACAGTGTTACGCGATGAAAAAACCTTTCTCGAAGTTCCAGACTTCAATCCAAAACTTCGTTTTTATAGTATACATAGAGTATGATGAGCTACGTCGAATGGCGTTTGAACGAACTTTCCAGCTCGCAAACTTTCCGAGATAATTGAGAAAAAGCGTGTCCAAACTTAACAGCGTTACGTTTGGACAAGCTATTCTATCGATTTCCTACATTTTTTAAACTATTTCTTTTCGAATGAATTAACTGAAGAAGAATAAGCGGTTAAGTATATAGTTAAGTGCCTTATCTGTTGTAGACGTTGGCTAACATGATACGCCAATTTCTCCGGTCTTGTGCTGCGTGAAAGAAGTCTATTTTCTCATATCCTTGTTTTTCAATCCAGATGTTCGTGTTTTCGAAGTACTTGATTCTTGGTCGGCCTTTGCCTTTTTTCCCATTGATTTTTCCACTTAGTACCAGGTGTTCCAAGCAACGTTTACGGATTCTATGACCAAGGAATTTCAGTTGCCTATATCGAATGGTATTCAGCAAACATCTTTTCCATTTCGTTCTCCTTAATATTGACTCATTGCTTTCTCTATCCGTCCAAGAAACATTCAGCATCCTTCTTAG